CTGAATGTAGTAGTGAAGAGCTTGGTGAAACTTATCCAACCCCCACAAGGCCTCCGAAGACGCAGATGATCTATCACTGGTCTGTGTTGCTGCTCAGCTGAAGAAGCGGTACATGACCTCGCCATTCGCGAAGGGACAAGAGTAGATGTTTCAATTTAGCATTTGAGAAACAAGACCGCACGACAGGAAAGAACAAGTGTGAAGTTTTCCTAACTCCGTAGCCTCTGGGGGATAAATACAGACGTCTCTGTACCGATCCCTCAGACTCTACTGAGCTTGTCCGTGAATTGTGAGACATGTGTAACCTAGAGCTCTGATACCAACTTGTCACGACCCGGATTTCCCACCCTCGGGGGTCGTGATGGCGCCTACTCGTAGAAGCTAGGCAAGCCATATATCTAGAATCCATAAATGTTTTTGTTTAAAATCCATTTTTACCAATTTAATTAAACAGGAAATAAATAATTAAACAACAGTGGAATTTGTAATTTAGCGGAAGACTTAAACGATATAAACCAAATAATAAGGAAAAATCCACATGTGCCTCTACCCAGAACTGGTGTCAGAACATTCACGGACTACTAAGAGTACTAAATACAATCGTTTGAAAGAAATATAACACTGTTTGTCTCGAAAACATGAGATAACAGAATAAAATATAAGATAGAGGAGACGCCGGGCCTGCGGACGCGTGCGAGGCTACCTCAGTGTCCCAGTGAACTGAATGCTGGCTCCCGAGCTACTGCTGCTGTCCGGGGCCTGGATCTGTGCAAAAGAGCACAGAGTGTAGTATCAGCACAACCGACCCCATGTGCTGGTAAGTGCCTAGCCTAACTCCGGCGAATAAGTGACGAGGCTAGACAGGACTACCACATAAACCTGTGCAGTTATATATATGTATCTACAGCCGGAAAATAACAAGAATAAATATTTTAAATGGGAGGGGAACATGCTTCGGGGGTAGCAGATAATACCGAATTCCAAGAAAATAATAAAGAACATCAATAATTTAACTTTAACACGGATAAGGGAAATAAAAGCAAATTTCACTGTCAGTACATATTTCGTTGCAGGCGTGCAACCCGATCCCATTTCTCAATAATCAAAGCTCGTGGTAGGCGTACCACCCGCTCCCATTTCATTAAATCTCGTGGTAGGCGTACCACCCGCTCCCATTTCATTAAGTCTCGTGGTAGGCGTACCACCCGCTCCCATTTCATTAAATCTCGTGGTAGGCCTACCACCCGCTCCCATTTTATTAAATCTCGTGGTAGGCGTACCACCCGCTCCCATTTCATTAAATCTCGTGGTAGGCGTACCACTCGCTCCCATTTCATTAAATCTCGTGGTAGGCGTACCACCCGCTCCCATTTCATTAAGTCTCGTGGTAGGCGTACCACCCGCTCCCATTTTATTAAGTTAACAGTTCTTCCAAATGAAATTTACTCCAACAAACACAACAATTAATACAAATTCATAAGACAACAAGCACAAAATAATTATGAACCACTGAGGAAGACAAGTAATGACAAGTGGCAATTAATTATGGACTTTAAGGAGCAAATAGGCAATTTAATATTTAGTATGCTAAATGTCAAGTAGCAATTAAGTCACATAAACATGTAGCAATTATAGCATAAATTCAAAGCATAATGTTGCGCAAGGATACCTCGAGCCAATAATAACAAGTAACACAATAACGAAAAATGCCAACATAAAGACTCACGGTAATAGTGGAATAAGACAATTAATGCACTTGAACCGATAACAACAAGAAAATCAGTAAATTGAAGTAAAGGACAAAAAAACTCAATTATCAGCAAAAATCAGGAAAATCAAAGACAAGTGCACGACATCACCCTTCGTGCTTTTACTCTCGTCCTCACCAAGCAATAATATAATGAAAACGTGCACGGCATCACCCTTCGTGCTTTTACTCTCTTTCCTCACCAAAGCAACAATCACAAACAAGGGCAAGGGAAATAAACAAGAACATATAGGAATTTCGACAAGAGAACAACGATTTAACAATTAGATCTCGGCAAGGGAAAAACAATTAAATAAGTAAATCCCGACGAGGGAATATTTCAATAACTCTTTCTCTATCTTTCACTTGTACTTCATAACTCACTTTACCACTTGAGCCAATGCTCCAAAGGGTTCAATCATCTCATATACTTTCACAATTCATAATATAACTCGAGCCAATGCTCCAAAATGTTTCAAGGTCTCAATTCCTTCCACAAACTTTTCACAACAACTAGAAATCATCACCAAAGCATGAAGAATACAACAAAATCTGAAAATCACAATATAAGACTCACGGTCATACTTGACACCAACGTATAGATACTCGTCACCATGCCTATACGTCGTACTCAACAATTATCACATAGCAAATACGACTCAACTCCTAATCCCTCAAGCTAAGGTTAGACCAAACACTTACCTCAAACTTCCACGGCCAATTCAATCCTCAATAACCGCCTTTCCTCTCGAATTCGGCTTCAAATCAATTGTATCTATACTATAATAACTTCAATACATCAATAAATGCTAAACAACACAAACCCAATGCGTAATTATAGCTTTTTCCATCATATTTCCCAAAAACTCAAAAATCAACCCCGGGCCCACTTGCCAAAACACGAGGTTCAGACCAAAATCCAATCACCCGTTCACCCACGAGCCCGAATATATAATTTGTTTTCAAATTCGACCCCAAAACGAGGTCTAAGTTAAGAAAAATCAAAAAGCCCTAACTCTACCCAATACCCAATTTTCTACCTTAAATCACATGATTTAGGCCTAGAAATTCGATAGATGTTGATAATAATGGAAGAAAATAAGCTAAGAATTACTAACCCAAGAGGTTTTGGTGAAGGATTGCTTCAATGGTCGCCTAAGAGCTTGGAGAAGAAAGGTTTTTGTGAAAACTTGGTGAAATCCCGTAGCTACTATTTCTGAAGTTTAAAAATAACTGGGCAGAAAAATGCTCTATGCGATCGCGAAGAAGGTCATGCGATCGCATAGGGATAGGAAGGTTGGCCATTGCGATCGCAGAAAGGGCACTGCGAACGCATAGAGGAAACTGGCTCCACTCTCAGGTTTGGCTTTTTTTGCGAATTGCGATCGCGGAGAAGGAATGCGATCGCATAGAAGAAATTAGGCCGGGCATCGCGATCGCGAACAGAACTATGCGATCGCGTAGAGGAAAATAAAGGGCTTCTCAACTTAACACTATGCGATCGTGGAAGGATCTATGCGATCGCATACAACAAAATGAACCCTGAACAAGTTACACTATGCGATCGCGGACAACGCTATGCGATCGCATAGAACAAACAACTGGACAACAGCAGACAACAGATCTGAAACATTTCTAAGGCTAAAACCATCCCGAAACACATCCGAATCACACCCTAGCCCTCGGGGCTCCTAACCAAACACATGAACTAACTCAACAACATCATACGAACTTATCCGAGCGATCAAATCGCCTAGATAACATCATTATCAACAAATTAAACCTCAAATTCAAAGTATTTTTTCCAAAACTTCATCAAGTTCCACATTTAGGATTTCAAGCCCGAAACACATCAAACGACGTCCGATTTTAACCAAACTTTACAGAAACATCTTACATCATATATAAGACCTGTACCGGGCGCCGGAACCAAAATACGGGCCCGATACCAACATGTTCCAATCAAATATCATTTTATTTTTTTTCCTTAACAATTTCTTTTAAAAATTCATTTCTCGGGCTCGGGACCTCGGAATTCGATCCCGGGCATACGCCCGAGTCCTATATTTTCCTACGGACCCTCCGGGACCGTCAAATCACGGGTCCGGGTCCGGGTCCGTTTACCCTAAACGTTGACCAAAGTCAAATTTATTCATTTAATATCAAAACTTAGTATTTTTCACAGAATTTCATATTTAAGCTTTCCGGCTACGCGCCCGGACTGCGCGCGCAAATCGAGGCGACTTTAAATGAGGTTTTCAAGGCCTCGGAAGCACAGAATTTATTTAAAACAGGTGATGACCCCTTTTGGGTCGTCACATAATTGTTGGCACCCATAATTCTAAAAAGGTTGAATAGTGCACTTGGTTTAAGGTTGAGTTAATTACCAAGAGAATTGGGATCAAATTCCACCTAATACACTATTTCCTTTGTTTTTAGTTGTGCATTCATGTATTAGAAATTCTAGATCCGCCTTTGACGATTGACACTCTTTTGTCGTAACATTATACTTCATTGTTTAGTTAGATAAATTTTATTTTACGTACATATACTATATGTTGAATTCTTTTAACTTTGTGTGTGTGTGTGTTTTTTTTTCTTTTTTGACTTTTTTTAGTAAAAATTCTAGTTTCCCACTAACTATTATGTTATCTAATCATATTCTCGAAAAAAAGAAAGTGAAAATAGGAAGGTTAGTGGCCATTCCGCTTTCTTTAAAAGTGCAACAAAAAAAAGGAGTGATGGAAATGCACATTTGGCTGAAAAATACGATTGCGCGACATTCTAAAATCCTGCTTAAAATATGAGAACGATTTACCAAGGTTTTCAAACTACGTTAATATAAGAATTACTCTTGGCGATTAGTTTTCAAGATAAGTACATTACGTGTTTTGATAAATAGTACGAGTTAGCCAGTTTTCAGACTAGTAATTAAAAAATAACCAGCGTTTGCAAAGTCATTGAAAAACAATCATTATTTTGCTGAAACACGAAAAATTCCAGCATATCATGCTGGATTATGGAGCTCCTGCATATAAACTTCCATCATATTATGTTGAAACTCTAACACACAGAAATATCCAGCATAATATGCTAGACATTGAAGCTCCTGCTTATAAACTTCCAGCATATATATTTTGTTGGAACTACAGCACATTATGAAATTCCAGCACATTTGTTGGATTTTTTTTTTTTTTTGGATTTTAAGGGTGCTTTTGTTAACATTTAATCTTTACATGAAAAAATGGAAAATTTTATTGAGTTTTGAAACTGTAGTTATTTTTTAATTACTACTTGTAAATTTAGCTATTTCTGATTTTTTCCATGTTTACCACGTATACAAACAGAAGCATCTCTCTTTTTAACTTTGCCGTTATTACATGCCTTGGTGGATAGGCCCATTTATCTCATTGGGCCTACCATCAGGCCTATAGACATCAGAAATTGAAGTAGGCCCATGGATCAAGCTCCTTTGGGGGAAGCAACATGTGCAAGACTCTTGACAAGGCTCTGGGGGCCCATGTATCTCTCTACTAGAAGAAGAAGAAGAAGAAGAAGCTGCTTCTTTGAGTGGACCCAAGCACTCTATTTTGTTGAATTCTTGAATGTTTGAATTGAAATAAATCCAAACTGGAGCTTTTTCCAACTCTGTGTAATTTTGTAGCAGATTCCCATCTCCATAAACAAAAGCCTTTAGAACCTGATAATGCACATTTCAAATTGTTAAATAGTTACTTCAAGTTAATACACAATAATAATTGAGTTCACGATTAAATATGTATATATTTACAAGGTTTAGGAAAAACTATTGAGTTCACGTAAAAGTGAGAATCCATATAGCTCCATTTAACACTATAGAAGAGTGTTGTACCTTAAGAAAGTGGAAAATATAGTGATAATTTATAAAAACTTACCACAGGCAGTTCTTTGCAGAAGATATAATATCTGAGCCTAGCACATATGTCTAACAAGAAATGGCCTCCACTAATGTGACAATAGACATGAAGTGACATCTTCCCTTTAACTTTCTTCCATTCTGCTACCACTTCATCTCTGTGTAGTCTATGGTGCCATCCTTTTAACTGCAAATAAATAAATAAAAACACATTTCCTATACTTTTCTCCCTTAATTTTCTCAAACATAATGTGTTTTTGGCATGATGGTAGTCATTTTCCAACTTATTTTCCTAGAAAATATTTTCTCGAAATTTTAGTTTGAAAAAATATTTATTAAAGATTGATAATTATCTCTAACAACCTGTTTGGCCAAGCTTCTCAGAAGCTTATTTTAAAAAATACTTTTCAAAAAAGTCGGAAACAACCTCTCTATCTTCATAAGGTAGGGGTAAGATCTGCGTACAGTCTACCTCCCCCTCTAGATCCTACTTTGTGGGATTATACTTGGTTTGTTGTTGTTGTTGATGTTGTACTTTTCAAAAAAAAAGTACTATTTCTCACCCTAACACATCTCAGAATAAGCTGATTTTAAAAACTTGGCCAAACAGGCTATAAAGCAGTGAAGTTAAAATTGAGATAATTATGAAGAGAAAAGATAAAAAAAGTCTATCCAAATTTCCTCAATTGGAGGAAAATATTTGTGGACAACCAAAACCTGAAATAACTGATTTTAAATGAAGAGAATTAACTACCTGAGAGTTATTGATGGTTTGGGAGATGGTCAAAGTAAGTTTAGAAGTAAGATCACAATGAGTAAATGTATATGTTCTTGGAACTTTTCCTGGATGATTTTCCTCATCAACTCCTGAGAAAAGAACCGTTAGCTTTGATGCTTCAAATATAGCTGGTTCAACTAACCTTGCCACCTGATAATTTTTCAGAAAAAAACAAATAACAGTTAAGTGGGCGTTTGGACATAATATCAGAAAAAAGTGGGAAAGAAAATTTAACGGTATTTGAAAATTAGAGTTGTGATTGGACATGAATACAATTTTGGGCTGTTTTTGTATGTTTTTTTAAGTAATCTGAATTGAAAATTTTGAAAAGCAACTTTTTGGAGTTTTTCAAGTCTTCGAAAAATTTCAAAATTCATCTTCAAGTGCAAAAAATGAAAATTTCATGACCAAACACTGCTCTGAAAAAAAAAGTGAAATTTTTCTGAAAAAAAAAAAATGATTTTTTTTTTGTGTGGCCAAACGGGAATGGTTGCTTTACAAAGATGTCTAAACTTTAACTTTCAAAAGAAAAAGGAGGAGAAAAATGAAGAGTAGTGAAAATTACAGGGACTATGGAATTATTCTTCTTGGACCTCTTTCTGGTTCTGTAAAAATAATTAGAGTTAAGCTTTTCAGGATTTAGCTTAGATGGAACCAACAGAGAAGCAGTCAAAATTCTCATCTCAAATACTCTGAAACTGAAGCTATATGTGAGAATTAAGCAGATTAGGCTGCGCTTAATAAGATTTTTGAATATTCTTGGAGCTCCAAATAATATTTCAAGGAAATTCCCAAGATATATTTTGATCAATCTTAAATATTTTGTAAGTACAAGTTAGTTAATAAATAGAAGCCTGCCACCGTACCCTGAATGAAAGGATATCATGTATTTATGATTATAATCAAGATATTGTGATGCCCATGGCGAGGGCGGGACAATGAAGGCGGGTCAAGCACGACTAACAGACTTTAGGGTGACAAGTTTTTGAAGAAGAGGTGTACATGTCATCTTAGGTGAATCCCACATCGGAATGGTAGAGAAAAGTGAAGAGCTTTATAAGGCATGACTCAAGTTCACATGGTACACGCGCTTTTGGGCTCGAGGTAACGCAGCCGAAGAAGACAAATCCATCCGGCCTAGGCCTAAAAGGGATAATACGTGCCATGAGCTTGGGTCTAGATCTATATAGGCATATTAGAGGTACAAACATGCAATTGTACATGTGATATAATATAGTAAATAAATCCAGGACTCCATACCCCTTTAATGATGGGATTTAATGCAAGCATACTAATACAATCAAGCTAGGAGTAACATTACAAATATCACACATTGTAATTCGGATACAAATTAGGTTATAAAGTAAGATAAGTTATACAAAAAATATGAAATAATATCCAACACAAGTTAGGTGTGGCAATAGTTGACAAAGGAGAGGAGCATTACCAAGGCCAGAGTTTTGAGGGCTAGTATTGCCTATCTAATTGGGCTAGTTAAATCAATGTAGGAATTTTTATCACCTATAGCAAAAGTTGATACCTTATTTATTTTAAATAAATACCCTTTTAAAAAATTATATTCTATAGATACCTTTTGATTTTTATAGCCAAATATCTATTTATGGTTACCTCCTACTCTTAAGCCATAAAATACTCTTTGTATTATTTTTCTCTCTCATTCTTTCAGATTTTTCTCCACCCTCTCTCTCTCAACGCCGGTCTTTCTCCATGGTTATCTCCTCTCTCTCTCCGCCTCTTTCTCCATGTTTGAATGTCTAAAATGGTGAGTTATCTAGGTTGGTGAGCACCCGTACAAGGAGATTGTATTGGTGGTGATCTATGTCCCAAGCACTTGGGTATAAACAAGTGTGGATCTATGGTATGTTCAATTCTTAGAATATCTTGAAGGATCTGAGACCCCACCTTGATTTCCAATTTGAATGTCAGTTCCAGGATTGGAACTATCCATAGGACTGATTCAGTTATCACTACTGCTGGTCCCCGTGACTATCTATTCATTTAATTTATGCGAAGAGACCAGGCACATGGGTACACGTACAAAAAGCTATGCAAAAGCCATGAAAGAAGGGTTTTGATTCGCATATCGGCGGTCTTATCGGCGGTTGCTTCTGCTCAGGAAGTGACCTCGGCCCTGGCACCATCGCCGGACCAAGGCGGGTTTTCACTACAGGCTTCCGGTGAACGGCGAATTCGCTGGAAATTAGGGTTTGTTCTTGAACAAAGACGACGGAGCTTGGGGCTGAGCAACTTGATTTTCTGTTAATATATTTCAATGTATTTTCATGTATTTCATTGTATTCATTGTCTTTTTTTCATTATAATTCAATGTATCTCGTTGTATTCCATGTATTTCGTTGTATTCACTGTCTTTTTTTTCATTATATTTCAAAGTATCCCGCTGTATTCTATGTATTTCATTGTATTCACTGTCTGCTATATGCCATGAATGTATTCATATGTTTTTTTTTAATTAATATAATTTATGTATTCAGATGTATTATATAATTTCTCTGAAGATTGCTATATTTTTGGGGTATTTTTTGGTTGAGAATCTTTTTTATAACTGAAAATACAAAATTTGTGTGTTATAATTGAGTTTGTTGATTTATATTAGGAGTCTATTATGTTAATTGATTCACTTTCCGTTTTAAAAACAGTGTAATCCCCTATTTCACGCTGCGAATACAGTCGAATACAGTTGAATACAATAATTTGTCCAGCTGTAATCCCATGTTTCACTTCATGAATACAGTCGAGTACACTCGAATACAACAACTGATTAGCTGGACTTCCCTGATTCACGCCTATTTTTGCTAATGTATTCATGAATACAATAGCTTAAATATATCAAATACATCTTATAACCACAAAAAAGGTATCTATAATCCGTAATATAGCAAATGGTATCTATAGATGGCTAATTACTGCTAAAAAAAAATTGTGCTTTATGAAAATTTCTCATCAATGTACTTAAAGCCCATTTGGCCGAGCTGCAAAAATTAGCTTATTTTGAGAAGTACTTTTTTTCAAAAGTGCTTTTCTCAAAAGTACTTTTGGCGAGAAGCAGTTTGTGTTTGGCTAATTAGTTTGAAAAGCACTTCTGAGCAGCAATTAGTGTTTGGCCAAGCTTTAAAAAACTGATTCTAAGTGTATTTTTCTCAAAAGTGCTTCTCAAAAAAGTGTTTTTGGAGAAAAGCTACTTTTTTCTGCTTCTCCTCAAAAGCACTTTTTTTCCTTTCAAAAACTTGGCCAACCACCTCAATTTTTGGTCAAAAGTGCTTTTGGCCAAAAAAAAAATACTTTTGGCCAAAAAGAAGCTTGGCCAAACAGGCTATTAGCTTGTTATAATATTTTTGTTATCATTTATTCTAAGATTTCCAATCAATAGTTATCTGCAATCACTTGTTAATAAGTGATATAATCATGTAAATATTTTTTATACTACCGACACATAAAACTTAATCATATTAGTCATCCATGCTGAAATGTATATATTGAGGTAAAAAATATAGATTAATTTAGTATGATAAAATGATAAAAGTAATATAGAAGACGTATTTTATGTATTTATTGATTCAATATAAATAACTAATGTGAGGTAATTGGTTTTCGGGAAGACTATCCCCCCTACTTGTCTACTTAACCTCATTGTCATCCCTAATTTTCGTAGGGAAAATTAGATATTATTTCGTAAAAAGAACAAGATGCAGGTATAACAGTATTTTGGACCAACATAATGAGCCCATAAAGTTTGAAAGTTTTAAGCTAATTAATTGGCCTAAAAAACTCTTCATACTACTCATCCATTAGTTTCGTGAAAATAGCACAGGCTAGCCAGTTTTTGGGCCGGTAATTAAAAAATAGTCAGCGTTTGCAAAATCTTTGAAAAATAGCCACTATTTTGCTGCAATACGGAAAGTTCCAGCATAATATACTGGAGATTGGTGCACCTTTGTATGAATTTCCAGCATATTATGCTGGAACTCCAGCACACGGAAAGTTCCAGCATAACATACTGGAGATTGGTGCACCTGTGTATGAACTTCCAGCATATTATGCTGAACTAGTATATTATGCTGGAACTCCGGTATATTATGCTGGAATATTTTCCGGATTTTGAACAGTGTTTTCGTTCAAATTTATCTTTACATGAAAAGTGCCTAAATTTCGATTACTTTTAAAATTGTGGTTATTTTACAATTACCACTTGAAACTGGCTATTTTTGAATTTCACCCGTTAGTTTCTGTTAATAAATACTTTACTAGTATCAGTTATTCCAAGGGACTGAAGGCTAATTTCCTTCTCCTTAACGTACGTTAGAAATGCACAAATATCTTCATCCTCCAATCTCTTGCACCTTATTAACGAATTCAGGTTTTAAGTAGGCACTTGATAAATATTTTATTCACGTTGAAAAAAGGAGTATTTGAAAGTCAACGACTTAAAATTTCATTACTCATCTTGAAATTTTAAATTAAGAATATTATTGTTCTTAGTGTTTGGCTCAAAAGTTATCGATATACTTTGCAAGCTTAAAAACAATCAAAAGTAAGAAAGGGTAAATCGTAATCAAATATAATAGACCTAGAGATGAAAAATGAAGTTGTTGTTGTAGATCTGATAGAGTAAAATGATAATATGAACTCCAGAGAAAATATTCATTAGAGATAGAGATAGAGAGAGAGAGTAAGAGAAAATCAGAGAGTTGTATTATTTCAGCCTCCCCTTTTATTATGTGAAAGTCTTCCTTATATAGTAAAAGACCTCCCTCGAAATAATAAAAAAGATACAAAAATAAGTAACGTTTTCCTAATGAAGACAAAGCCTTAAACGATGTCGCTTTTGTTCCCACGCCCAAGTCGTACCCTTGCGTTAGTTGACATATATTCATTGGGCGTATCCATTGACGTAGAGACGTTGACGGTTGAATTTGACCCTATACACTTAGCAACCCCTCAAATTCTCAAATGGTCGTCTATACATTTATTATAGACAATTATACACATATTATACGAGAATTTTTCATATATTACATATTTGTAGGTTATTTTTAGTTTAAGCCGGGTTTGACCCGTTTCATTTCCAGTTAAATTTTTTGTTAATGTTCAATTATGCCTAACTAAATAAAGTAAGACACAAATATCTCAGGCTTCTGGTCCATGATTTTAGGTAGAGTAGACAAGACTTTTTTGGAGAGAAATGCAAAATGAAGAGAAAAGGACCTCATTAATTTTGACTTCTCCAATTTATTATTAACTGGAAAGTTCATAGCAAAGACTAACTTATAACCAACTTGTAGCAATAGGTTATATAACTCATCACTTAACTAAAGGAAATACAGCAAAACAGGAAATAAAATTAAATGTGTATATACATTTCTCTAGACAGAACTATCATTTGCATCATTTTGATGATTATTAATGCACAACTGATAAGAAGAAAAGAAGGAAAAGATAACCATATCGACTGTAATTTATTTTTTACTAAACTTTAGAAATTAATTACAGTGGTAAAAAGCTTGAAGTAATACAATTATTTTTCACAGTTAGAGAAAAATAAATGGGAGCTTTGTCTTTGAGGAAGTCCAATAAAGAGCTCTGTCTCTACTTCCATTGTTTGTCTTTCAGTGTCTTCCTTTTCCTTATGAACTGTTGTCATAAGCAGTGGTAGCACCTCACACTGAAAAACAAATTTAATATTAAATTTTCTTCGAGTAATATGTACTAGTAAATAAAAATGCAGTAATATAGAAGAAATTGACCCATTAATCAATCAACTATACCTCAATTCTATACTAATTGACATCAACAATAATAATCTATATGCATTTCATTCTTCAACATTAATTTTTGTATATCGTGGTTAGATTATATTGTTCGGATTTGTCAAAAATGTTGCCGTACTCATATCGAACACTCCAAAATTACGCTACTTTTGGAGGATTTGGCGTATACCAGACAACAGTTTTGAAGAATCCGAGCAATATAGCATACATATAATCTCAACAAAATCAAAATTTGTGGAGCTATCTTTAGCTGTCCATTTAGACATAAATTATTATTTTGAGTATTTACAAATACTGAACTTGAGTATCTTCAAATGTTAGAATGGACTTGACATGTAGGCAAATATTACGTGTAATATCTTACCCTTTTCTTCAAGTCTGCATTTTGCTTCATTAGGATTTTTTCCTGAGAGTATAAGAGAAACAGTGTACTTTATAAGGCAACTGGATTAACAGTTCTGAATTTTATTAATATTAAATATTTCTAAGGTATTTACCTCTTCCTTTAGGCGAGCAATCTGTTCCCTGAATAACAGGTTCTGAGACAAAACAAAAAAGAAATTAAGTTATATATATATAAATTCAGCAGTGTTAACATTCTTTTCAAGATTAACCTGTGATAGCAGATTACTACGTAATATTTTTTTCCAAGTTACAATTTCCTATGCCATATTGATAATTAGTGTATATCTCTTATAAGTAACCCGATTGTGTAAATATCTTTTAGAGTAAGAAAAAGATTATGCATCCAGCTGCAGCAGAAAAAAAAAAAGGAAAAGTTGAAAACGAGAGAGAGAGAGAGAGAACATATTATGCACACCTTTCTTGCCCTAATGCAGCTTAAACTTCGTTCCAACTGTTCTTCTACCTGTTGAAGTTCATCATAGGAGGAAGAATCTAAACCTTCTCCTAAAAGCTTTCTGCAATATATAATGCATAAAGAATTAGCAGAACCATTTGTTGGTTTTATTCTGCGGCTAAGTTGCGGGGACTCTTCAAAATTGCGGGGACTCTTCAAAATGCTGTCACACCCATGTCAAATCCTCCAGAAATACATTACTTTTGGAGGATCCTACATGCACCCGGCTATATTTTCAGAGAGTACGAGCAACATAGTTCCGCAGTGTCCATATTGTGCTACAGTACAGAAAACTAGGAGACAACCTTTTAGAATCTTCAAGAAACTCGAGCTTTCTCGTCATTGTTGCAACCTCCTCTTTCAAATGCTACGCAAAATACATGAGTATAAAAATACCAAGAGACTCAGCAAAGCAGCAGTAACGAAAAAGCATGCATGGAAATGAATTAAACAAGATGCTATCAACACACAGATTATAAGCAAGTTGATTATAATGAGTTATATATCTAAATTAAGGACTGTGTTCTTTTATATATGTTGGGTATGTGAACTAAGTTCCACATTGATCACTGAAAAATTTGGAAGCCTACATATAAGGTGTAGAGATCTTTTAATAGTGTGGGGCCTTTTGGAAAAACCGTACGGGCTTGGCCTAAAGCGGATAATGGTGTTTAGAGTATCATTGAAGTTGCTTATATTAGGGTGATTAATGACATGTATGATGGAGCTAAGACGCAGGTTAGGATAGTGGGGGCGACTCGGAGCATTTTCCGGTTGTTATGGGTTTACACCAAGGAACGACGCTCAGCCCATTCTTATTTGCCCTGGCGATGGACGCACTGACACACCATATCCAAGGGGAGGTGCCATGGTGTATGTTATTCGCCATTGATGTTATTCTGATCGATGAGACGCGAGGCGGTATTAACGAGAGGTTGGACGTTTGGAGACAGACCCTTGAGTCTAAAGGTTTCAAGTTGAGCAGGACTAAGACAGAATACGTGAAGTGCAAGTTCAACGGTGTTTCAGGAGAAGTGGACATGGACGTGAGGCTTGACTCTCAAGTCATTCCCAAGAAAGGGAGCTTCAAGTACCTGGGGTCGTTTATCTAGGAGGATGGGGAGATTGATGAGGATGTTACGCGCCGTATAGGTGGGATGGATGAAATGGGGGCTGGCGTCTGGTGTCTTGTGCGATAGGAAGGTGCCCTCGGAACTTAATGGTAAGTTCTATAGAGCGGAGGTCAGACCGGCCATGATCTATGGTGTTGAGTATTGGCCAGTCAAGAATTCTCATATCCAGAAGATGAAAGTTGCAGAAATAAGGATGTTGAGATTGATGTGCAGACACACTAGGCTGGATAATAGTAGGGATGAAAATATCTGGGTGAAGGTGGGCATGGCACCCATAGAAGACAAGATGTGGGCAGCTAGGCTTAGAAGGTTCGGGCACGTGCGAAGGAGAAGCATAGATACCCTGGTTAGGAGGTGTGAACAGCTGGCCTGACGAGTGTGAGAAACGTAAAGGGCAGAATATTGGGGAGAGGTGATTAGGCAGGACCAGGCGCGTCTTCAGATTTCCGAGGACATGGCCCTTGATAGGAAGTTGTGGAGAGCGAACATTAAGGTTGTAGGTTAGGAAGTAGGAGGCTAGCATGGGTTTTGTCTTAGGCTGCTAGTGACTTCAATTGTGTCCATATTACTTCAATAGGGCTACAGGTTTGGTCGTAGGAGGCTAGTCCATTAGTGTATTGTCTTAGGATGCTAGTGGCTCTTGTTGTATCCATATTACTCCATTGTGTCTGTAGTACTGTGTCATATTATTATTGCTTTTCTTTCTATTTTCTGGTTATTATGTTGATGATGTTATCTTTCTTTCTTTCTTGCTCCCTCTGATATACCTGCGCCAGTGTCTCTTCCCATCTTTTTTAGCTGAGGGTCTATCGGAAACGGTCCCTCTACTCCTTCGAAGTAGGAGTAAGGTCTGCATACACATTACCCTCCCCAGACCCCACTTGTCGGATTTCACTGGATTGTTGTTGTTGTTGTTAAGAGTATCATTTGGTCGTTTTAGCCCAACAACTGGAATCAAAGCCCAGGTTCAGCGTGATAAGTATAATAATGATAGAGTGATAGTAGAGGGCTCGTTTTGCTTACCCTTACGAGGTTGGAGATGCGCACACAAAAAGAAGCTAGTAGCTGACTTCAGTTGCCATAAATACTCTAACGATGTGGATGACACACAATAAATTTCAGAAATTGACCCGTGGATTGTGGTAATGGCTACGTGAAACTAGTTCGAGGAGAAAACTCATGGATTGTGATAGTGGACCACGTGGAACTTAGTTCGAGGGGAAGATTGAAAGACAAAACACGTAAAATAAGCAACATAAAGCACATCAATTACACCAACGTAATAACAAATGCAATATTTATCCTGATGCTATATAAATTTTTCTATGCAAGATAGTAGTTCTTAAATATTAACTACTGTTAGTTTTGTGAGACGAAGTGAAGAAATAAATCAGAGAAATAATTTTGAACAGATAGTATAACTTAAGCAGTTGAATTCTTCGCATGCTTTTGTTGATTTTTTGTCACGAGAAATCCTAGTTGTTTTGTCTTGCGTTTCACCAAAATCCTCTTAAATTCTTCTTAGAAAGCACCTTTCTTGAATGGCTTCTTCAACATGATACATGAATTTCAGCAATGCATTTAATCTTTCGTGGAAACTACTTGAGCTTGGGTGTTAAAACTTTATCATGCTTGAAGACAATAGTTGATCAAAATATCATGAAGCTTTTTCAACATTATTTTCCTCTTTTTCAGATTCTTCTTCAGCTACTACTAGGAACGGAGCTAGAAGTTGGCATACGAGTTTGATCAAATTCAGTAACTTTAGTCCAAATCTTGTATTTGTATTAAAAAACTTGTTGGGTTAAAACGGCCTAAAAGACACTCTTAATTTTGTGTGATATTGTCCGTTTCTGGCCAAGCCGACACAGTTTTCCCCAAAAAGACTTTAAACCATTAAGAGATCCCTACACTTTATATGTAGGCTCCAAATCATTTTAGCGAGTAATGTGGGACTCTGTTCACACACCAACAATCTCTCTCCCTCGAACTAAATTTCATGTGACACGTCACCACGATCCATAGGTCAATTTTAGAGATTCCCCGTGTGAAATCCACATCATTAGAGTATTTATAATTCGGGGGGCACTTGAGTCAGCCGCCGGCGCAAGCGAAACCCGCAACTAGATTCTTCTTATGTGCGTGTCTCCAAGCTCCTAAGGGGAGGTAAACCGAACCTACACCATCACTCTACCATTGTCACACACGTCCCATCGAACTTGGGCTCTAATACAAGTTGTTAGGCCAAAACAGCCCAAAGATACTCTTAATATGGTGTGATATTGTATGTTTTGGGTCAAGTGTGTGCGGTGTTCCCCAAAAGGTTTCATATCATTAAAAGATCTCTATATCTTATATGTAGGGTCCCGATCTTTTCATGTACCAATGTGGGACTTTGTTCGCACATTACCCCAACAAAATTTACTACATATATATAAAAAATAAAGTCAGAACCATATTAACATAATGTCATTGTCCTAGAAATTAGAATAGTATAAATTAAAGTTCAGATCCTAGCTCAGCATACTTGTCTTTCAACCTTATTTTGCGCCAAATTCCAATGAGCTTCTTCGTCGAACAACACATCTTTATTTATGATAATTGTCTTCTTCTTCTAATTATACAAACTATATAGTATACATAGCCTTTTAACTTTCAAGAAATAGCCAACAAAAAATACATTTCTCGCTTCTCTTACTCCAAGTTGCAATATATATTGTTTCAACAGCAACTGCATTTCGTTTTCTTGTTCTTTACTCTTGACTTGCATACTAATTGCACTTATATAAACACGAGGGAAAACCTTATAGTTCCCTAAGATACTCTGGACTCTTGTAGAAAATGTTAAAATAATAGTCTAGATATATGCATGCTAATTTCTATCCATCATTTGGAAATCCCAAGACTACTTTTAATTAATAAAAAATACAACACATCAAATTTAACAACTATGTAAAACCTAATCCTTCCTCAGATACAACTAAAAGCTAGTCATGATATACACATGCAATGAGACAAGGAGGGTCATGAAAATGCATGCTGTTGAGACAACATGTAAGCTGGTAACGCCAACTTATATTAATTAGTTTACGTAAAACATTTTGATTAGATGACGTATTTGTGTCCTAGCAAAATGCAAAAATGAAAAAAGGAACAGAATACAAAAATGAAAAAGGATATATGCTAACCTCAGTAGTTTGTATATCAGCTATCTTTGGTCTGTTAAGTCCAAGATACTTGTCATTCTTCTGATATCGTTCTATGGTCTTGTTAGTACTAAAATGAAAAAACGGAATAGGATAAGAATGTGAAAGTCTCCACCATGTGACCTTAATATAAGTAAGACAAAATGAGATTGTATAGTAATAAGTTGTACAAACTGGATTTACACTTCCATCATGTTGGATAACGCCAACAGCCTGCTTATGGCAAGGCCCACGAGGGGACTGGGGGTGGCTCCAGTCAAAGTCATGGTCGAACGTGGTGCTTGTTTGGTGGGCTTCGTTAACAAAAAAAGGTTGTGCGTCTGCTATCACCTACTCCTTTCGTTTCAATATAGATGAGGTAGTTTGACTCGGCACGGAGTTCAAGAAAAGAAAAAAAGATTTTTGAAACATGTGCTCTTAAAGAGTAAAAGCTTCATAGGGCCATGACATTTGTGTGGTTATAAAAGCTTCTCAATAAGAATAAAATGAAGAGTTTAAAGTTGGATTATTTCAAATTGTAGAAATGTGTCATCTTTTTGGAACGGGCTAATAAGAAAAGTGTGCCATCTAAATTGAAACAGTGGGACTATAACTTTTGGCATGATGGTAAGCATTTGATCCTTACAAGTAGTATCAGAGCTAAGGGCATGGGTTCGATTTTCAAGAGCAACGTACTGCATGAGGCAAGTGTTGGGAGGGGAATTATTGGGTAGCGCTAACATCTTGTCTATGGCAAGGCCCATGAGGGGGTAGGGGTGGCCCGGGTCAGAGGCATGGTTGAATATATGACGCTTGTTTGGTGGGCTTAGTTAAGAAATAAAGTTGCGTCTTTACTATCAGCTATAGCTTTTGGCATGATGATAAGCGCTTGATCCTAACACATTACGACATGGTCATTACGTTTCATTTAATTTATTTTTCTTTACGCACTATCTCGAGAAGAATCATGCAATTTTTCGGATTTTGCAAATAAAAGTTAAAATCTATATGGTCTCCACAAGTAAGTTTTTCCATCTGCACAAAATTACCACCCTCCAAAGCAGTAAGCCATATGTAATATCTAGAATACTTACTTATAAGGTGAATAATTTCAACTCCAAAGTGAAGATAAGAAATATATATATATATATATATATATATATATATATATATATATATATATATATATATATATATATGTTTGTGTGTGTGTAAAAGGTAATTCATCCTTCTCTAAGTTTGTCCAACATTGGTTGAGGAAAATTCCAATTGTTTCATCAAAATTGATTGTTGTCTTTTTATATGGTCTTGAGCAATTCTGAGTCAACTTTTGGGGTTTGATTTAGGCCGAAATTTTATTCTCTTAAAATGATCTCATAGCAGTTAGCACAAACTCATCCCCATTAATTTATTCAATGTTGGACGCCTATATTATGTTATCCATGCTGCAAAAATCCAGGTCTGAGAGGTGTTAGATTGTCTCATATTGATTGAGCTACTCCAATAATCGCTTCGAATTGAATGCTTAGATTCTTTACAATAGTTTAGACAAATTTGTCTCAATGATAAATATTTTGTGTTGTAGATAAAAAGATAATTCTTTTATAAGGCTTCTCCCTCCAAAAGAGCAAATGAAAATCATAAAGGAGAATCTTCAAGATATACAGTCCAAAAATTATACCACTATTGAACATTTTTTCAGAATTGATTAGTAGTGTTTCAATTCATAGTCTGTATTAAGAGACTCTGATGTTAAATGGATCCAAATCTTGTTTCAATATCAAGTCTTTACTAAGTGAAGAGAAATGCGTACCGTTTGGATGGAAATTAATTATAGAAGATAGGAAAAGAGAGACTTAGAGACAAGGAAAAAGTTAGTTGAGACACGGGATAATAGGGCAAGCAGCGTCAGTACTTTTTGCTAACTTGATTCAATACTAAGTAAACTCCTCATCGCGTTATAAGTAGAAAATTCAACTACAAAGGATAAAGAGAAAACGTTTGATATCCATTTGTGGTTTAAAAACTCCATAAATTCAATATACATGCATAACTTATATAGAAATTTATATAGTATATTTTTATATGAGATATATGTGCAACAAGAATACGTATATTGGTAATGTATCTCGACTTGACATTGTGATCTCGACATCACAATTCATGAATCATTATAATCATTGTATAACTAGCTAGCATAATAGTTCATGGTATAATAAATCTTGTATAACTAGTCTGTAAACCAAACAAATTATTCTTTAGTACTACATATACTAATTATTAAGAATTTTTCTTAGGATGAACTTGTTGAACAATACACATAAATGAAGATCTCTAAGACCTTGGAGCATCATAAAGATTGATTATTAAGAAAATGAATAATTTGAGTCATAAAATTCTAGAAATTAAAGCAATCAAGAGAAAAACTGCTTTATACATAGTCTATGCACTTGATATATATACAGTCAGACCTCTGTATAATAGCATCCCTATATAACAACACTTCACTATAAAAGTCAAGCTTTTCCGGAACCAATTTTCATGTTATGTTATAACATATGTCTATATAACAGCACTTCGCTATAACATCCAAAAATATTCGGAACAAATGAGATTGTTATAGAAAGATTTGACCGTAATTGATCGTCTGATATCACTAAGCAAAGATTGAGGAATCAAATGATGAAAAAGTCAGACCTATATGGAATAAAAGAAGCAAATATGAATGCATTATATTTTCGTACACCCAAAAATATTACTGAAGAGTTGGTCAGTAAGAATAGTATTTTGGGTCTAAGTACTCAGGCAAAAGTGGGTGGGGTATTGGGACTGACGATTGTAAGTACAACTTCATTTCAAGTTTAACCTCATTTTATTGTAAAAAATAAAAAGGCCACCGGCCAGTACTTCTCCCAAGTACTATAACATTTAGTCACAACATACATCAAAAGTTTGTTTTCTTGTTTGCTGAATTACTCCTTGTATTATACACATAATCATCTATAATTTGTACAAGATTCAGCTTTATCAAGATTATACCAATTCTAAATAATTGTTGGATGTACGGATTACTTAAAATCATTCAAAGAGTTAAAGATTGTATTGGCAATACTAACGCTTTCTAATTCTTGTTCACTGTGAGTGTTTTTCTCTTTTCTTGGTATAAAACTAAGGACAGAGAATACAACAACAACAAATGTAGCATAATCCCGGCCCACAAAGTAGGGTCTTGTATAGAGTGTACGCAGACCATACTCCTACCTTGTGAAGGTAAAGTGGATGTTTACGATAGACCCGAGAATATGGAGAATCAAGAACTTAATAACAAAACAAATAGGCAGAAAAACAAGGGACCCTTTTAGACAGATAAAGCAGGTAATCATTGTACTTGCTACTTTGTTACATTTAATGTAATTGTAATGGATAAATCCTAAAGAGTAAAGAGCTACTATATTATAAGTTGTTTAAAAATAAAGATTCTAGCTATATATATACACATACAATTATGATAAAATTGTAGTGAAAAAAACAAGAAAATGAAGATATAATTAATGTGTACCTGGAACTTGAGAATTCATAAAGCTTTCCTTTTGGAGAGAAAACAATAAGGGCAACTTCTGCATCACATAGAACTGAAAGCTCAAATGCTTTCTTAAGAAGTCCACTTCTTCTTTTTGAGAAGGTAACTTGCCTACTTGTTGCATTTTCAATTCTTTTCATCTCAGTTTTTCCTCTAACCATCTTTTTTTCTTACTTTTACTAATTACTTCTTCTTCTCAGAAAAAATGGCAGATATTGTAGAGGGTCTCAATTACTTTCAGATTAAGATACAAAATAATATTCAAGAAATCCTAGCATATATATCCATGACAAGTTTCTATAAAAAGAAAGTTCTTTTTTTTTTTTTTGGAGAAGATAAGAATTGATTTATACAATAGGAAGAAAACAAGACAAAAACCTATTGATGGGTGTCTCAGATCTGAAAGATGGAAGAAGAAAAAAAAAGAAACTTTTTATAAATAAGACTGAAATGGAAAGGATCTGAAACCCTAATTAAGAAGACAAAGATGAGGACATATTTTTTCTGTTTTTTCTATTTTTATCTTATGCCTTTTTGAGTTCACAACCACCAGAGAGAGGATATAAATAGAGAAATGATTAAGGAAAGACTTGTAAGAACCAAAACCTCATCTCTTTTCTTCTTTTAGTAAACTTGTAAGAAGCACTAAATTAGACAAACAGATGCCCCCCCAAAAAAAAAAAAGAAATATTAACTTTAGTGTAGTACATATATGGTAGTCTAAGGCAAACAAGTGGGGGAATTATTAATTTCGTATTTTTAATAGACAACAGTATAGGGTATTATCACTCTTAGTCCGCGCCAGAAATTATTTATATTCAGTAGCCGGAAAAGATATAAAATTTGTATAATTTTTGAATATAACATACAATATATATATATATATATATATATATATATATATATATATATATATATATATATATACACACACACACACACATTTTTCAAAAATTTCCTTCTTCGCAATGCTCTCGACGCACGTTAGCTAAACGTACGCCGCCTGTGTAGCCATGGCGAAAGGGAGAGGCAGAGGACGAGGTTGACCTCGAAAATACCCGTTAACTACTCTTGTAAGCTCGATGGTAACTGAAAATCGGCCATTGATGGAGAAAGCAGCACCAGAAGCAACTCTCTCTCTCTCTCTCTCTCTCTCTCTCTCTCTCTCTCTCTCTCTATATATATATATATATATATATATATATATATATATATATATATACATATACATACACATTTTTCAAAAATTTCCTTCTTCACAATGCTCTCGACGCACGTTAGCTAAACGTACGCCGCCTGTGTAGCCATGGCGAAAGGGAGAGGCAGAGGACGAGGTTGACCTCGAAAATACCCGTTAACTACTCTTGTAAGCTCGGTGGTAACTGAAAATCGGCCATTGATGGAGAAAGCAGCACCAGAAGCAACTCCACCTTCATCAACTCAAACTGCAGATCCAGCTAAGGGAGGTGTTGCATGTGAATCTGGTTCTACTCTGAGCCATCCTAACATCTCTAAGAGACTAGATCTAACTTTTCCTGTGTCAATTAGTCATGTAGCAGCTACTTCGACAGTGCAAGTCAATGGAACAGTAAATGTGATCAATCCAGCTCAAAGTCAAGTAAACTCCCTAGGCTCGTCGGAGAAATCAACAGAGGCAGAGGTGGTGATAGCAAGTGAAACTACACCTAAAGCTCCATGGACAACCTTGTTCCAGAAGAATCGATTTGCTACGAATGGTATGTCACTATCCTATATTCCACTGCAAATTGTTGATGGTCAGTCTATGGTTCAATTAGACAAATCAGAGGTAGAAGAGGAAGAGAACAAATGAGGTGTGCATTGACTGCATATATTTTAGGTGATGGATGATAAGTGGGGATTTTAACCTATTAATTGCTCTCTTTTGCTTGCGTTTTGGGCTTAAAATGTGTGAAGGTATTCCAGAAAACTAATGTAATATGCTTGCTTGCAGGAACTGATCAAAATGAGCCAAAAGAGGCATAGTCAGCACACAAAGGAGTCAAATCTGGAACAAAAACAAAGACTGGGCCAGGAGACGCGGAATCCACAACGCGGCCGTGATCACAAATACACGGTCCGCGAAGTGAAGAATCAGAGAGTGCACTTTAAGGCCAACTATTGAGCGAGGTCCGCGCCAGAAATGTGTGGCCGCGAAAGTCCACCGCGGCTGCGGTTGGAATTATGCGGACCGTGGTGGATGAGATTCACAGGAGTAACATTTCAAGCAAAAATAATGAGTGCGGTCCGCGGTGGAATTACGCGGTCGCAAAAATCCACTACGCGGCCGCGATGGAAAGTATGCGGCCCGCGAAACAAATCTCAGCCCAAATCCAGACTATGTAAACACGGACCGCGGTCAGTATTACGCGGCCGCAAAAGCAAGAGTGCGGTCACGGTAAGAATTACGCGGCCGCGAAACCTCCGCAGGGGCATTTTTCACAACTAAAAAATCAGGTTTTAGCGACAGACAAATTCTGTAGCTAAATAGAAAAATCCGCCGCTAATCCAATTTAGCGACGGATTTGCAACGGATTATCAAGAAATTCTGCCAGCTACGAGCATTTTAGCGACAGTTTAGCGACGACGTTCGTAGCTAATTCCAGTTTTTTTGTAGTGTTTGTCCGGAAATTTCATCTTAGTATAAATAGATCTTTTTCACATTTTTAGGTTAAGTTTTGTTTTTGCTGAGCACGTGAGACGGCTGGATATTCTATTTGGGCAATTTTGTATTAGATTCATCTTATGACATTAGCTTTTCATTTTTTAACCTAGTATTATGGATTTTATCTTTATTTCATCTTTGATTTCTGCTATTTCCATGAGTAGCTAAACCTATAGCTAGGGTTGTAACCCAATCCTAGTATGGGTATTTGATGGGTCTTGAATTTTAGGGCTTGAATGTGTTTGGGTTAGTAGTATTTCGCCTTGTTCTTGCTAGAACTATGGAATTAGTGATTGCAAGCACTGATTCATGCCTTTATGACTTAGTCTCTACTTGAGAAAGAGGGACTAAGTCTAAAAAAACTAGGCTAACAAGGAATTGGGGTGAACTCAAGAAATTGATAGCCCCAATTAAAGGGTTAAACCTAGAGATAGTAATACCCGACTTGAGCTAACATCACTTGTATTGCATGAATACCCATCAATTGGGCAAAATCACTCAAACTACCGAGAGGTATAGAGTGAGTACCCGGGTGTGATAGTTACACTACGACCCCAATTAATCACATGATTGCCATAGATTCTTGCTACCTATTAGATATCCACCTAGGTGGAAGTCACTACCCTAGTCCCTTTAAACCCTTGAAAATCAAAATCAAAAATATTGTACTTAGTTTTAACTATTGCATACTATAAAATAGAAGTAAAAGTAGAAAATAAACCAACCATGTGTGAAAGTGTAATTAAGAGCAAAACCCACATCTAGACTCGGATATAAATCTAACTCCAAACAATTAACTCCCTGTGGATTCGATCCCGACCTTGTTGGGTAAAACTGCATCGACCATCCTCGCTACTCAAAGTAGTGTAGGCTTGGACCCGATCAATTTTTGGCGCCGTTGCCGGGAAGTTAGACGATTTTAGCTATATATCTGAGCATTTGTGTGTTTTGTTTTTCTTTCCTTCCGTTTTTCTAATTTGTGTGTGAACTTTTAGGTACCAAATGGCTATTAACAACGAAGCTCTCGAAAATTTTCCATTGGGGGAGGAAGTAGATGATGATCACGTGGATGAGATTCAATCCAAACCTCAAGCACATAGAGAGGCCGACCGCCTCATGATAATATTCCAAACCCTCCCCCAGCTCCTCTAAGGGCAGTACACCGGGTGTTGCCAAACGAAGGCTATGCAAGTGCAGTAGTCCCACCCTGGATTAGGGCGGGCAACTTTCAAATAACCAATGTCATGCTTACACTCTTGGAACAGAGGGGTTTCTTCACCGGAGCTCCATACCAAAACGCCTACAAGCATCTCAAAGGTTTTGTTGATACGTGTTGGGGGAACAAGCAAACTAATGTATCTGAAGACGCATTGAGGTTGAGGCTTTTCCCACTTTCTCTAAGGGAGAAGGATTTGGACTGGCTAGAAAGGTTACTCAACCATTCCATCACCACTTGGGATGAGTTGGCCGAGAAGTTCATCGCAAAATTCTTTTCTCCGGGACATATGGCGACGCTAAGAGATTAGATCCTTGCTTTTAAACAAGAGCCAAATGAACCGCTTCATAAAATTTGGGAAAGGTATTGGATGATGGTTAAAGAATGTCCGAATAATGATATGACCGAAGCCATGATCCAACAGACATTCTACTGTGGCATCAACACTATAAACCAATGCATAGATAACCAACTCGCCGGGGGAAACTTCATGAATACGCCATATGCTGAAGCGTGTGAAATACTTGATGAGATGGCGGATACTTCTTCGATGTGCAAAGTAGAGCTAATGTGCCACAAGGTGATCCCAATGTCATTCACCTATACAAGGAGCTCCATGACCACAGCCAAGCAATAGCCGAATTGACTACTACCATGAACCAATTGGCCAAAGCTCTATTGTAACAAGTTCAAGGGCCAAAACAAGTGAATGCCATGGAAGGGGTGAATATGATGGTAAACAAGATGAGGCAACGAGGTCAACAAGTTCAAAGCAATCCGGATCAATTTGAGCAAAATGGTAGTGGTTACAATCAAGATGATGTATATGATGATCAAAGTGAAGAGGTTTAATATGTGAACAATTACCAAGGTCAACGGGGCAATGCTCTGAATCAACAACAGTGGAGATCACAAGGAAATTGGGGAAGTCAAAGTCAACAAGGAAATTGGAATAGTGGCAACAACAACAACCAAAACAATTGGGGGAACAACAATCCAAATTGGGGTAACCAAGGAAACCAAGGCAATTGGGGTGGCAACAATAATAGTAATTGGGGAGGCAATAACAATTAAGGGGGTTGGAACAACAACAATCAAGGGAATCGGGGGTCGGGCTTTCAAAGGCCCCCGATGTATCAACAACCAAACAACCTGCCTCCATTTCCGTCACAATGTAACGACCCGGCCAGTCGTTTTAAGAATTAACGCCCTGATCCCCCATTAACTGCATTCCCCGTATTTGTTTCTGCTATTGTGAGTTGCCGGGAGGATTTATTTGGAGTTTCGTAGAGTTTTGGGACACTTAGTCCCTAAATGAGAGCCTAAGTTTTAGAATTTGAACCGTAATTGGAACAATGTGAAGACGACATCAGAATGGAATTATGTTGGTTCTGTTAGCTCCGTTGGGTAATTTCGGGTTTAGGAGCGTGTTCGGATTGTGTTTTGGAGGTCCGTAGCTTAATTAGGCTTGAAATGCCGAAAGTTGAATTTTTGAAGTTTCCGGTTCGATAGTAAGATTTTGATATCGGGGTCGGAATGGAATTACGGAATTTGGAGTAGCTCCGTAGTGTTGAATGTGACGTGCTTGCAAAATTTCAGGTCATTCGGACGAGGTTTAATAGACTTTTGATCGAAAGCGTAATTCGAGAGTTTTTGAAGTTCTTAGGCTTGAATCCGATGTTAATTCGATGTTTCGATGTTGTTTTAGGTGTTTTAAGGATTGGTATAGGTTTGGATAG